CTCTCGTTGCCTAGCCTCTCTATTTTTTCATGGTATCAGAGCGCCGATCTCGGTGACTCTTATATCTTCATCACCTTCCGCAACCTCTAGAACATGGCTAGCGACGAAGAAACACCGAAACACACAGGCCACAAGCCTAAATCTCAAAACACAGAGACCAACGATGTCTCTGATCCCTTTTATATACATCATTCAGACCAAACTGGTCTGACACTTGTCACTCAACTCTTGGATGGTGACAATTATGCAACTTGGAGTCTTGCAATGATAATGACTTTGGAGGCAAAGAACAAACTTGGCTTTGTGGATGGGACGATCAAAGCACCAGCCACAACCAGCGCCAAATACCCCATCTGGAGAAGATGTAACCAGATGATCAAGTCTTGGATCCTCAACTCCATCAGCCCCTCTCTGGCTAACACCGTCATCTATGCAAATACAGCTGCTGAGGTTTGGCTAGATCTCAAAGAACGCTTCTCTCAAGGGAATATTTCCAGGATTTTCCAGATTAAACGAGATATTGCCGAACTTCGACAACATCAGCAGTCTATATCCGTGTATTACAACACACTGAAAGGTCTTTGGGATGAGTTGGGATCATATGCTCCCGTGCCATCATGTAAGTGTAATCCCATGTGTGCTTGTGGAGTCCTAAAGGAACTCACTGACAGAGAACAACAAGAGCGAGTTCTTCAATTCCTTATGGGCCTGAATGAAACCTACTCCGCAGTTCGCACACAGATCCTACTAATGTCACCCTTACCTTCTGAGCGTAAGGTATATGGGATGCTTGTACAAGAAGAAAAACAAAGGCAAATAGCTGAAAGTGGGGAGAATAATTCTTCTCATGCAATGAATGTATCGAGAAACACCAATAAGCAGCCTCGCCCAGTGCAAGGCGAAGATAACAAAAACCTCCACTGCACATACTGTGATGGTGACACTCATACCATGGATCGGTGTTATTATCTTCATGGATTTCCAACCTGGCACAAGTTGCATGGAAAGACAATCAAGCCACCAAATAGAAACAAGCGTGCAGCAGCCAACAATACCAACAAGGAGGGAGCCAAGACATCTGCTGCCAAGACCCCTGAAGATTTAAAATTTACAGCTGATGAAGTGTGCCAAATCAAGGCAATCCTTCGAGGTGATGGTAAAAATCAAGCATTTGCGAACGCAGCAGGTATGACTAAACCTCAGTGCTATGCCTTTGCCACTGATCATCCAGATTATTGGATCATTGATAGCGGTGCAAGTGATCATATTACTTTTTCCTCCAAATTAATTCCAGAAAAGTCCTCACCTTTTAATTCCTCAGTCACCATGCCAAATGGAACACAAGCAAAAATCACTTGTGTTGGTTCTATCAATCTCACCTCTCACCTAAAATTACATGATGTTCTTTGTGTCCCCGGATTTCGAGTTAATTTGTTGTCTGTTAGCAAACTCACTCGTGACCTCAATTGTTTGGTCTTATTTTTTCCCACCTTTTGTATCCTGCAGGATTTAACCTCGAGGAAGATGATTGGATTGGGGAAGGAGCGTGATGGTTTGTACTATTTAGTACCAGTCACCGAAGAT